GGACTTTTTGAGAATCCAGCTGGGTGAGCCAGAGGAGGTGGATGAAGATGAAAAGGACAGTAAGTCCAGCAGCGAGCTGGACTCGGGGTCTTCTGGGGAGGACTCTCTGTCTGAGAAGGGGGCAGCGTCTCCTAAAAGTCCTTATAAACTGCGGAAGAGACAAGATAAGAAAAAATGAGGGTTGAAGGACTCTGAATGGTGCCTCTGATAAATTTTGTTCTGTTGTTTTTAATATGGAGATGCTGAGGGGTCTTTTCATAAGAGTTATATTTAGAAGTCATAAAAGCATGTCTGACAGTTCATAAAACATAGCATTTTAAGAATTGGCATTGTATACAAGCTAATTTGAAGATCTCCTCTCTTGGGTTTTTAGTCAGTAGTGGTTATCTTTTCTTTCTCCCTTAAATGTAGTACCCCTCCCTTTTTCCATTATAGTTTGTAGTCTATATAGAAAATGCAATTAAAAAATCCCCTTTGGGGGGCCAAAAAAATAATAATAACAAAAACAAGTTCTCCATCAGATGCACAAAGTTTATCAGTCTGACTGTCATATTGTGACAGATAAGCATTGTATGTTTATCATTTAATGAAGATTTTTGTACCACATTCCCATGTGAGGCCACTCCTTGATTTTAGAGCACACTTGTACTTTCTGTTTACTTGGGTAGACCTTCCCAGTGGCTTCCATGTGGTGTATACGTGTGTTGCACGGCTGGTGTCAGCATACCCCTGAGGTGGGGCATCTGGCAGAGGCTACGTCTGCTCACTCCCCTGCCCACTCCGTTGGTAGCACTTCACCATCTGATTCTCAGCAACATGTACTGGCAGGGTTACCAGGGCTACAGGCAGTGCAAGTGGCTGAGAGCATGGATGGTGGGAGGGCTCACATGTGGGCAGAGGAATAGAGCTGCCAGCCCTGGCCAGTGCTGGGAGATTTTTCGAGGTGATATCTGGGGAGGATGGAGTTTCAGGGGATGTGACATCAAATCCTCTGTGATGCTCTAGAAATTTTCTGCACCTCTAAGACAAAGACCACAGAAACTGGGGAAATTCCTCGAGTGTCACAGAGGATGTGACAGCACTTGTGGGTGGAAGTTTGGAGGATTTTGATGCCACTCCCAGTTGATGTTCTAGGAATCCCTCCAATCTCTGTGGTTTTGACCATAGAAATTGGGGAAGTCTTTCTCTAGGTAAAGGTAAAGGTTTCCCTTGCTTGAAAGCCAGTCGAATCCGACTCTAGAGGGCAGTGCTCATCTCTGTTTCCAAGCCGAAGAGCCAGTGCTGTCCAAAGACTTCTCCGTGGACATGTGGCCGTCATGACTAAACACCGAGGCACATGGAACACTGTTACCTTCCCACCGAAGCAGTACCTATTTATCTGCTTGCAATTTCTTACTTTTGAACTGCTAGATTGGCAGGAGCTGGGGCCAGAGACAGGAGCTCAGTCCGTCACACGGCACTTCCGGTCTGCAGCTTTAGCGACTTAGCGTCTGTACCACCTGGAAGTGGCCCTGTGGGTGTATGTCCATTTGAAATAAATCCTTGCAGACTCACAACAAAGTTGCTTGGGCCTGTACATGACTCAGTTTGTAGCACATCTGTATGTGTGTGCACCATATCCTTCAGTGTCTTAAACTCTGTACTGTTTGAAATGTTGAACCCCCCAAGGTAACAGTTAAAGCTAGACATTAGCTCAGACCAAACTTCAAGTATATCATCAATGAGAACTTGCCAGCAGGTTGATGAAGGAAAATGTGACCAGAATGAGAAGATTTTGTTCATCTTAATGATGCCAGAGCATGACCTCATGACTCCAAGGAACATGACAATTTTTTCACTGGAGTGCCATGAAAAACAGCTCCATCCAGCACGATCTGCTTTCAGGGAACTCTAAAATATCATTAGAGCCAATCTCAGCCTTTACGTGCCATCAGGCTTGAAATTCCTATAACAAACCTTTCTGGACCCTGCCAGAGCTTTGGAATTTCCACCAATAAAACAAGTTCTCTGTTGAGTCAGTCCTGCTGCCAAGAGGCAGCCTCTCTCTCATTCCCACGATAGAGAAGATCTGAGAGGCTTTGCTCTTTTCTTGTCCTTTCCTTTGGGCAGCTCTACCACTCCAAGCAAGAGGAGTAACCCTCCTCTAGTCCCGTCCCCAGTTGTCACTTTAGACTCCAAGAAACTTGTTCTCGCAAAAGAAATTGGCTCTGAATACCAGGACAAAAGACAGCCTCTTTGAGGCACACACCCATAGAAACAGACACTCCCACATGGAGGAACACTGCAGGAAAGTCTAGCTCTTTCTCTCACACAAAGAGCCACACACGTACAGTTTCTTTTACAGAGGGAGCAGTGGATGTTCTCCCTCCCCCCAGTATCCTCTCTCTCACTCTCTCTCTCTCTCTCTCTCTCTCTCTCTCTCTCTCACGCGCGCGCGCGCACACACACACACACACAAACCCCTTTACATTCTCATGCACACCAACTTATGCATTGATTCTCCCAAACGTGCTGGGCACCCATATACACCTTGAAATCCCCAGCAATCCAGCCGGGTGTTGCAGGCATCCTGAATGCCACTGCCTTGATGTCACAGATGCATGCAGGAAGTTTGCCGGAGTTGCTGTAAAGACAGCTGGATGAGGGCTGCTACCATTTGAAGAGTTTTAACTTGCTGCTTCTTCCACTTCTGCTGTTCCCTCTCTTCAGCGTACCTGGCCCCAAATGCTGTTGCTACTGCTGCTGCCCATGACTTGGGCACCTCTGCCGGCACATCTGCAGAGCCTGGTCGAGGTAAGTCCAAATCTCCTCCTGTGTCTTTTCTTGCTGGTCGCTGCTGGCTTTAAGTTACACAGCCAGCCTGCATACATTGGCTCCATTGGGGGATGACAGCATTCCTGCCTGCAGGCCACACAGCTGCACTGAATTAGCACCATGGCCCATAACAGCAGTCTGTCTCCTCTCGGCTCTCCCAGTTTCTCCACAGAGCCTTACTGTGAGGCAACGGGGTAACAATGCGGGAGAGGACTTCTGCTCTTGGCACCTGAGGCTCCGCAGGGACCCAGGGGCTTCTTAGCATCACTTAGCTTTTGCCTACATCCTCGCCTCACGTAGCCTTCACCCGACTCAAAAACATGCTGAGTCCCCAATCTGAAATTTTGAGTTTGATGGAAATGTCAGATACTCTTTGGAATTCAGTGTATAATTAAACTACAAAGCTCGTATCTCTGGCCCTGTCTGCACTCTGCAAGGATTCTTGCCCTCCCGCGGGTGCTTTTCTGAATGAGACAGATGAGCAGAAGTCAGACTGAAGCACTGCGTGGTGCAGGCACAGCACCCCAGCAAGGTCCAGGCACTCAAAGCATTGCACTGGAGAGTCTTTGGCCTTGTTTTATCAGTAAAATGGTCCTTAGAAGCGCCAGCAACATTCAGTCAAACAGGTTAGTTCCCCTCAAGCCCTAAGAGGAGAGCCCCGTCCTCTCTTCCATCCTGTCACGAGAACCTTGGCGGAGACAGGGTGAGGCGTAGGACTCAGGGAGGAGTTACATTGCCTTGAGGGAAGCCAGTGCTGATTTCCAAGTTGTCATTCCAGCATCACATGAGATGCTATTCTGACCCTTGCCAAATCTGAAAATGCTGAAGAGGTATATATATTTAGACCCAATTTTGGTTTTATTTTCGATGGCTTTATTCCCAGGGAAACCGGTAACTCAAGAAGAGTGTGAATGTAGGACATTTCTTATCATACTAGATTGTATGGGGGGGGGGGGACGGACAGAGAATTTGATTGGCAGGTTGTTCAACAAAAGAAACTTCTTCTTCACAAAATACATAATTTATATTGAATTACACAGACAGTGGTGATGGCTAGCAGCACTAGCAGAGACAGCTTTAAGATGTGATTAAATGCAGCCATGGAAATGGGATTCATTTATCACTGACTACTAGCCCTAATATAAATAGTAGAATTTCCATGTTGAGGAGAAATACAATCACCATTGCCAACAACCAGGGACTGCTATTGCCACCATGGTCTGCTTGTAAATGTTCCAGAGATATCTGTCTGGCGGAGCTGCCAACTTTTCAACCAGACTGTGTAACCATGCCTTGAACAGCAAATTAAGCGTATGGACTAGGGATGCTAAAAACGTCACGGTGAACATATTCAGTAGACAAAGATGAACTGAAAGTTCAATTTGTTTGCCTGTCTACCGTCTACTGGCAGGAAGGTTGGGGGCAGGGACATGGTGGGGGAGCAGCATGGGTGTGATGATATCACTTCAGGGGAAATGATGGTGGGTAACTCTAGGGAAACCTGGAAATGATGGTGGGTAACGCTAGGAATAGGGGTTTCTGGCAATTCCCAGAGCTACCCATCATCACTTCTGGGTTTTCTTTGGAAATGACATCATCATAGAAGAAGAAGTAGAAGAGATTGGATTTATACTCCACCCTTCACTACCCAAAGGTGACTCAGAGCGGCTTACAAACTCCTTTCCCCTCCCTTCCCCACAACAGACACCCTGTGAGGTGGGTGGGGCTGAGAGAACTCTGAGACAAACTGCTCTTTTTCAAGGACAGCCGTGCCAGAGCTTGTGACTGACCCAAGGTCACATCAGCAGGTGCAAGTGGAGGAGTGGGGAATCAAACCCGGCTCTCCCAGATTAGAGTCCGCACACTTAACCACTGCACCAAACTACACCATACCTGCTGCTCTGCTGCCCCCCCCCCCCTTTTTCCCTTGCCACTAAATGGAGTGGTGGTGGCAATAGACGTTCAGGGAGGGGAATGTTCTACCCCGACCAGAGAAATGGCATCCCTAGGTCTGCCTCAAACAGCTGTTTAGCAACTTTGTATCTGTGCAGTAGTGGTGGTTGTGGGGTTTTGTTTTGTTGTGGTAGTAGAGTTTAATTTCCTTACCTTGCAGTGGCTTTTGCACCTGCACAGTGGTTATGATCAATACTACCTCTAAGCTGTGGAGTCTTGTGAGCAAAAATTCTACTTTGTGAGCTACTGGCATTAAACTTGTGAGTGAGCAATTTGGCTACTGCATAAATTAGGGTGCTCTGGAGCCATCCTTCCTGAGCTAAGACAAAAATGTGTGAGCCAGAGGCTAAAAAACTGTGAGCTTGCTCACACTAACTCAGCTCAGAGGGAACACTGGTTATGATTCTACCTAGGTCAGGCCAGGCAATTTATTTATTTATTTATTTAAATTATATGAGTGGGAACTCTGCTTCCCATAAGAGTGTGTGAAAATGGACATGTGAAGATGCACATAACATCAATGTGTGTGAAAATGCACATAACATCAATAACAACTTAAATGAACACCAAAAAGTAAGCCTTTTTAAAAAATACAGTCTCTGTAATCACTGGCTAGCTGATTTGATATGTTCACTGTTTATGTGACTGGCTGATGAGTGACATGCGTGACAATAAGTCACTGGGGGGTAAGTAGGACCCAGGCTGTGTGAGATGCACAAGTGCGAAACTTTGCCAGTTGTACTGTATTGTACTATTATCAATATATCTAATTCTCAATATGGCTCCATCTGTGGATTTTAAATCTGGAGACTGGGGCTAGGAACAGACAAAACAGGTCTTTCTACAAGCCTGAGGAAAGCCATAGATTTTCTGAACAATCTGAAATATTAAAAAAGAGAATTAAAACATCCCAATATTTACAAGGAAACAACTCTATAACTTTGCTAAGCTGGTATTGTGTCTCGTTTCCTTGTAAACCGTGACTAGATGCCTGTCATTAGAATTTCAGATACTTTGTACCTTTTTTAAATACTTAATAGAATTTTTAAAATTGATTGAAGAAATCTGACTGTTCACTGAATTTTATGGAACTTGTGAAATAGTACTATATTCTTGAAGAAGATACCTGAAACAAAGCAAATAATCCAGAATCTTCATTGAACTTTGTATATTCGAACTTTTGTACAATTGGAATAATGTGTACTGCATATTGTTTAATTGTATACCGCAATCCTTGGATTATTGATTTCTTTCTAATATTGTTGTACGTTTTTCACCATCCATATAATTTGTTCACTGTTAATAGCGTCTTTTCTACACAGCTTTTTTCTATCACTTCCCTTTGGCTAATAAAAACCATCAGCAAGAGAGCTACATGCAAAGGCACATAACATCCCTTGAACAGGGGGCTGGACATTGCAGGCTTCCTAGGGAGTACCAAGCTGGGCTGGGATGCTGCCAACCAGACCTTGCTGCTTCTGATCAGCTTTGATAGGCTCAGTGCTGGGGCAGTTCTCAGCATTTCCCCCTTTCCCCTTGATACTGAGAAGTCACATATTGGCTGTGCTGATCCACACACTGATCCCTGTTAATCTAAGCAACAGGCCAGCATTATTGCAGGTGAAGGAGTCCTAAAAGAGCAACTCTCTTCTCTTGTGCAGTTTGGTGTGTCTTTCTTGCAATTCCTTTCTCCTGTTTCTGGTTAATACTACAATGCTAAATCAGTTCTGCAGAAAACTGTAACGGGGACAAGTCCTGAGAACACCTCTAGGCTTTCAAAACTACAGTGCCCACTGAGGGTCTTTTTTTTTTTTAATCCCAACCTCACAGGATGACAGATGCAACCAAACAAATTGGCAAAGAAATCCAGAAGCAGGAGTGGCTGACGAGAATGGTGAGTTTTCTTCCTTCTGGGAGGAGCCAGCAGTATTTCTCAGGAGCCAGCTTTGAAAGAGAGAGAGACCTGAGGGTATCTACAAGACATGGAAAGGTTCTTGCCTGAAGCAAGAAGGGGAGAGACTAGAGTTCACTGTAGGCAAAGATGTTCTCTTCACCAGGAAGGAAATCAGCCAGGAACTCCCTTCTCACTTGGTTTCCATGGAGGAAAATTACAGGGGAAAAGACAAACAGGGCTGCATCAAGGTTTCCCCACCCCCAGACCTTAAACTAAAGGTTCACATGATGGTACTGGCATTGCTGGGGAGGAGGTCTTCCTGCTGTTCATCTCTTTTATTTAAAGAAAATAGCTAATAATGCACTTCTGTGTGCATGTTGTACAATGTGGGAGATAATTTTAAGCCTGAAAAGTAAAAAAAGTTCACAAAATGATAGAAATAATTATCTTGCTGATCTCTACTATTTGCATTTTACTCCTGTCCAAGTAGCTCATGGTAGTATACCTAGTCCTTCCCTTTTTATCCTTATAACAGCTTGGGAATAAATAAAAATGTGTGTGTATATTTTTAAATAGAAAAAAAATATGTATTAAGAGTGAATTTAAGGTCTATATATTAGAAAGCTGAACAATCATGCAAATTCTGAGTCTGCCAAGCTAATTGATTAGAGAAAAAATAGAGATAATACAGCTGTTGTACTGGTCCCTTATCCTGGGTAGAGAGGAACCAATAAAACAGCAGGGAGAATGGTGCAATCTAATTGACCCCTTTAGCAAATGTCAGTAGGAGCCAATAAAAAGATTTTTCAGTCCCCCTTCAACATATAAGTAGAACTAGCCAGAGTGAGTGAGAGAGCTCTGAAGGACTTCAGAAAAAAGGCCGAGCTGAAATCTAGATATCTGCAGAGAATTCCCTCAAGAGATGGAAGACACCTGAGAGAGCTGTAGACCAGGGAGGTCTGAATAGCTGTGGAGACAGCTAGGCCTGGGCAGTCTGAAAACAGCTGGTCTCAAGGCAAAGTTCCGGAAAGGAGCTGCTACACCCCCCCATCAGAACTCTGGCAGAAAAGCTCTCCGAAGACTGTAAGTTTGAATTAATATAGAATAAAAACCAAAACAGTTCTCCTATACCCAGTTCTGCATTTTTCTTTTGTTCTTGTAAGATTCCCCACTCCTCCACTTGCACCTGGCTGGATGACCTTGGGCAAGCCGTAGTTCTGATAAGAGCTATTCTTGAAAAAAGAGCAGTTTCTGTCAAGAGCTCTCTCAGCCCCACCTACCTCACAGGGTGTCTGTTGTGGGGAGGGGAAGGGAAAGGGGTTTGTAAGCCACTCTGAGACACCTTTGGGTAGTGAAGGGCAGGGTATAAATCTAATCTCCTCCTCCTCCTCTTCCTCTTCTTCTTCTTCTTCTTTTTCTTTCTCTTGCTGAATCACTAATAAACTATGAGTTGATCACTTCTACGTCCAGTATATTTCACCTGGCGTGATGTGGTCCATGGGGTTGCAAAGAGTCGGACTTGACTGTGCAATTGAACAACAGCAAAAGGGAAGAATTCTCAACCACTCTGGCAAAACAAAGTACTGTGAAGTAGAAGTCAGACTAATTTAGAAAAACAGTGCAAATAAAACAAAAAATAGCATTTAAATAGTGTGCTGGCTTAGTTTAAGATGTCATATCATGCATTTTGAAAATCAGGACAAACTAACAAGTACAGACTTCTGAGTTTCCTAGAACCCTTCATCAAGATACATGCTGAATATCAAATTGTGCATGGGGGGGTGATCTTTCAAGATATGATGGGAAATCCCACAGTATACTTTGTTGTTGTTGTTCAGTTGCACAGTCGAGTCCAACTCTTCGCGACCCCATGGACCAGATCATGCCAGGCCCTCCTGTCTTCCGCTGTCTTCTGAAGCTTGCTCAATTTCATGTTCATTGCATCAATGACACTGTCTAACCATCTCATCCTTTGTAGCCTTCTTAAAATGGAGGCTAGGTTGTTTTGCGGATCGCATGATGATCAGTACAAGATGGATTTCAGGATCTGCTACAGGCTCTCCTGGAATGATGAAGCAAAACAAAAAAGACTGGACTCTCTCCTTTCTAAAATATATTTATTTATTTATTATTTATTAATTAGATTTTTATCCTGCCCTCCCGCCGAAGCGGCTCGGTGCGGCTTACAACAATTAAAAACCAGTAAAGATTAATGCAGTACATCTAAAAATAGTCAATAAAACAGCCAATATAACTTATTAACAATAAAATTACAATTAGAGCATTACAGTTTGCACATGGCGGGCGCCCATATAAAGCCAGAGTGTTTGATCTGGGCTGTTAAACGTTTGGCGGAATAGCTCAGTTTTTACCGCTCTGCGGAATTGGTGGAGATCCCGCAGAGCGCGGATTTCATTCGGGAGCTGATTCCACCATACTGGTGCAGCTAAGGAAAACGCCCTGGTTCTCGTCGCTGTTAACTTATAAGAGCCAGCTCCCCCAGTGCTATTCAGAACATACAGTTTCCTGTAAGGCTGAGAGTAGCAGAAAAACATGGTAAACCTCATTCTCACAAAACTAGGGACTAACTGCAGATGGTGTGCTCTAGATATGTACAAAGAAAGGCAGAAAGGGAAGTGATTGATGAAGCCAGTTGACACAATTGTTCGAGTGTCCAGATATATTGGCAATGCCTGGTAAGGGTGTTAAGGTTTTCTCAATATACTTTTCAATCTGGAAAGCATAACTCTCTGCCAGTGCAGACTTTGCAATCAAGATTGCTATTTTTTCAGCCAAAATTGCCATAAAAATTATATTTTATTTATTTATTTAAATTTTTAGGTAACCCTTCCCTGCAAGCAGGGCTCAGGGCGGCTTACAACAGAAAGGAACATACCATAAATGACTAGAAGTTAAAAATCCTGCAATAAAATGCATAGTGCATACATCAGCAATAATTCAATCTGTTCCAAGATGGTTAGAAAATTTCAGATTTCACAAGCCGGGGGGGGGGGGGGTGTGGGGGGAAGGTCAGAAAGGCAACATATTCATCTCAATCCAGATACAAAATATTGCACTGAGTACCTGGGAAAATGTGATGTCCCCAGAACAAAAGTGCTACTGTTGAGGTAGGTCTGCAAAATGTGTGTGCAAGAAATGAGAAACAAATGTCCATTTATTGCAGACAGGAAAAAATATGCAGAAAGGCCCTCCAAAAAGCTTTGGCAAAAAGAACCCCACTTGCTATCCACACATCTGTCAGGTGAAACCAAATTCTGTTAACTCAGGAAACCATAGTGGGATAGTAACAGATCTGGAATTTCCCTGTGCTTTAATTAAACTGCATACATGTTTCAACAACCCCTAATTCCCAGATTGATGAGTTCATTGCCTGGCACAAAAGTAACACAGGGAAGAAATAAGCTTTGGAATGACACAGAACATAGACCCATTGCTAATACTTAAGCAATATCCTAAATAAAGGTCCAAAGTATAATTAAGAGAAATCCAAAATAGTGTATTACATACCAGCCTGATACCCATGCTTCACCACAATATTTACGTTCCATAAATCCAGTTATAATACTGATGATTTGAAGTCTGAAATGTAACATTTGTTGTAGGAATTCAAATAGAGAAGATTGTACTGTAAAAAAGGAAGTGAGACGTACATACTGGTGTTTTTTTCTCTACTGAAAGACCTCTCTGTAGACCACATTGGTGGTTCTGCCCTCAGGTGCTAGGAGTACCAGGCTGCTTGGTGAGCTCACTCTGGAGCAGGCCACATAGAACTGTCCATGTGAGAAGCAGTCGTCTGTTAAGTCAATTCCTGCCACCTTCAGTGTCTGCTGGACACTGTTGATGGTCATAGCAAAGCAGACCTTGAGGGGGAACTGCAACCTCTTGAACTTGAGGGGTTTTTCTGATGGTATGAGTGGTATGTATGGTATGAACACTGACTTCCCGAGCATTGCTGGTGAGCAATGTGGCCTCGATGATGTTCCTGTGGAGGGCCTTCACTTGCAGTCTGGTGCCATAGCAGAGTTTGAGTGGGTTGAGGTTCCACAGCAGCATCACTGGAATCTCCACTTTGAGGAGAAGCTTGTGGGCCGGGAAGCCAGGAGGGTTGAGAGTGCTGAGAGTAGTGGACCACATCATCTGTTTGCACCACTGAGTCCACAGATCTGTGCTCCATTTCTGCTCCCTCAAAGGAGTTAAATAGAGTTTCATTAATTATGGTAGCCTTGTCGTTCTTGGGGGGTCAGAATGGCATGCTCGCACACTTGCACAGGCTGTCCACGGACTTCTCCGTGATACTGGCAATATCAGGGTAGATCCTGGCTGTTAGTTCTGGTAGGGTCCAATCGCTGATGTATGTAACTGTCCTCAACTGTCTGCAGTCTCTTTTACTGGGGGTTTTACCTCAAAACATTGATATCCACAGCTGAGCAATCAGAGGGAGGTGAGTGCAAGCAGGCAGGTTTTACCTCAGAACTCTGAACTACACAGTTGACTATTTTTTTTTTGGGGGGGGGCGGCAGCAGCCTGCCAGGCACATGGGAAGCTAGTTGGGAAACACATTTTGCCCCCTTTTTACTTCCTTAGAGGTTGTGTTTCTCAGAAATATCTTTGGAGTGGGGGTTGACGTTATGGTAGGAATGTACTCCACTTATTTTGGGTTTCTTGGTGCAGGGGTTTGGCCTGGGCATTGAATTGGGGGTGGAGGGGTGCAGGGCATACATTTTTTTTTTTTACAAAAATCCTTCTCATTGATGTTATATTTAAGAAGGGCATAACTATGTATTCAAAACAACATCTGAGCAATCAGATATTAAGCAAGTTCATATGAACCAATTTTCTAGAACCCACATGAGAAGTTAAATAATCCAATACAGGAAACCACTTTTTTACAAATTTGGGGTATATTTCCATAGTGGGTGGGAGTATGGCTAAAGCCATTGGAGAGGTGATCCTCCACTAAGGTGATCCTGCTGGGGCAGCCTCCCTGATGGATTAAAGTACCCTAACCCTGCTCCTACACCTGACAAACACCCACATGTCTGGTGTAAGGGGGGGGGTGTGTTTAAAGGCATCATGCAGGCTGGGCCAGCAGTAGTGCTAAAGGCAATCCTGGTAAGCAAGCCTCCCTGATGGCTTTAAGGACTCTGTGCCCCTTCAAACCCTTCACAGGTGGTTGTCTGTTAGGTGCAGGTGGGGTAGTGTGTCTGAAGGCATCGGGGAGCCTGGGCCAGCAGGATTACTAAGGTGATGCTGCTTGGGCAGGCTCCCCAATGGCTTTCAATGCTCTGCCCCTGCTCCTGCCCCTGATAGAAAATTGCCTGTCAGGTGGAGGAGGGGTGGGTGGGAATGTGTCTAAAGCCATTGGGGAGGCTGGCCCAGCAGCATTGCTAAGGTGTTTCTGCTTGGGTGGCCTCCCTGATGGCTTAAAGTACCCTGACCCTGCTCTTACACCTGACAGGCACCCGCCTTTCTGGTGTAAGGGGGAGGTTGTTTTTAAAGGCATGGGGGAGGCTGGGCCAGCAGCAGCATTAAGGCAATCCTGCTGAGCAAGGCTCCCTGATGGCTGTAAGCTCCAATCCCCTCTCCTACACCTGACAGGCAGCTGTCTGTTCATTGTAGGTGAAGGAGGGGTATTGTAAGCCATTGTGGAGGCTGGGATGGCAGGATCGCTAAGATTTACTGCTGGGATGGGCTCCCTGATGGCTTTACGCACCCTGCACCCACTGCTGCACCTGACAGACAGCTGCCTGTCAGATGTAGGAGGTGGGGGCCATGTTTGAAGCCATCCAGGAGGCTGGGCCAGCAGCATTGCTGCACCTCACAGGTGGTTGGCCATTCCTGATTTCCTCAACTGCCCTTAGCTCTCTGCAGTTTCCTGTAACTGTTTTTTTTTTACCTCAGAACATTGACCTCTGCAGCTGACCAATCAGAGAGTGGGGGTGCAAGGAGGCAGCAGCTTGGCAGCCACATAGGAACCAATAGGAGGAGCACATTTTACCCCTTTTGACCCCCTTAGAGGTCCAATTTCTAAAAATCCCTTCTTAGTGAGCATCTACATCATGATAGGTGTGCTCTCTCTGATTTTCATGTTTCTAGGTCCGGGGGTTTGGCCTGGGCATTGATTTTACAGTGAGGACACTTTCTTTTATATATATATAGATATTGTACAAACAAATATTCCTCCTTCCTGTAGGACCCCTCCTGAAAGTCAGTGTCAGCAATCACGGCCACTCTGACTCCCTGTTCCTGACATGGAACAAACTTTCGAGAGAGGTCCAAGGCTTCTCGCTGGCTCTTTATGTCTCAGAGACTAATACTTTGCTGCAGAATGGATCCACTGAGTTCAATGCTACCAGCTTCAGCTTCCAGGGCTTGCTTCCAGGGACACAGTACAGAATTGAAGTCACTGCCCAACTGCCTTGTGCACAGAATTCCAGTAGGAGAGTCACTGGGCAAACGGGTAAGCTGGAGAATGATACATTTTTTTATCATTTTGAATGCAGAGTTGGTGTGTTTGGATACATGGTGACTATATGAGCTCAGCACAATGCATTATTCAGGAGAAACCTTCCATTGGCACACTATGCCATGCAGGTGAAAGTAGCATATATCCCTTCCTATGGCTTTCTGAAATGAGAGTTACTTGGTGGGGCAGGAAGGAAGCAAGTTTTGTTGGTCTGGGGAGTATGCCCAGTGGAAACTTCATGGTATATGGCTGAAAGTGCAGAAACCAAAGGGATTATTTATATTGCCCAGACTAAAAGGCAGCAACAGTGGAACAATCTTTCTGCTTTCAGCTAATACTTTCTGTTACTCATCACTGTCCTATGGCCTGAAAATACATGTGTTCTGGGATTCTATCTACCTTGGTTCTTTGGAGGGGGTGGGGGAGCATATTCACCCTTCAGACATGAACGCATGAAAACCCTTCAGATGTTACAAAAATGCATGATCAACTATGGACTAAGCACTGAGAATTGTCTCAACCATAACACGTGGTTTGGATTTTGGATCAAAAGTGAGTTTATGTTAATTATTCCAGAGTTTCTCTAGCTGGGTCAAAGTCCATGAGCTAGATATAAAGGTTTTCCCTGTCCTTCTGCCTGCAGTACTCACCACGAATTTCTATTGGCCTTGGGCCAATAAAAGTGTATATTTCACCCATCTTTTGCGCAGTGTTGTACCTTTTGAATCAGTTACCTCTTCCAATGCCTTTCTGTGAGAAGAGCTATTCTCTGATTATTATTTTTATATGATGATTCCATTCTGCATTCTTAACTTAATTGTTTCATTCCAGAAACATCTGAATCAGGTACCTAAAGGCACATGTTATTTGGGTGCTGTCAGGGTCCACTGGAGCTGGGTCTGACTCCGGAGCTGTCTCACTCTTTTGTGCTGGGCAAGTGCCTCAGGATAGAGCAAGAGAAGGCTTCCTTTCACCCAATTTCCCCACATTGCTCTGCCAAGTACCTACTCCCACTTGCCAGGGAATGGGTCTAGCTCTTCCTCCCTGGCTGCTCCTGAGAACAGCTTTTAAATGCTTCCCCAAGAGAGGGCCAGCCCTGGGCTCAGCCAATCTTCTCTCCCCAATCCAGACCTGGGAAGTGACAGGCCCCTTGGCCAATAGATACTTGCCTTGGAGTAGTGAGCTCCCTGGCCCTTCCCTCTGAACTTCTTTAAAGAGCTGGCTGCCCTGCCTGACCTCCTCTAAGAAGGTCAGTGCTGCCTGCCATCCCTGCTCCCCTGTCAGAGTTGCCCTGGGTCTCAGTTTCAGAGTCCTTTTCCAGTAGAAACTGGGCTGGGTTGGCTTTTGCTGCTGAGCATGCTGTTGAGAGCCAGCTGGGCTCCTTCAAACTGGCTGACTCCTGAGTAGACTTGGTCAAGGCCATGCCCTGCTGCAACCAGGCAGACAACTTTCCCAGCTTCAAGGCTTGCTGGGGCAGCATGTCTTTGGTGGGGCCTGCAGTCTCTTGGGGTAAGTGTGGGGCAGTGGCGCCGACCCCAGACACGTGTATTCTAAGATTGTTTCCATTAATATCTCAGTCCTTCTGTTTTTCTTGACTTGGAAGTCAGTCTCATTAACTGGAATGGAGTTTATTTCCAAGTAAATTTGCTTAGGTCAGCTTAGAATATTTCTAGCTTTCTTACTCCCTGTTTCTCTCATTATTTTTTTATATAAGTAATAAACATACACCAAATCTTATGCTTCTGGCCATGCTGCAAGAAGGAATTTCTCTTCCTTTGATTTGCATCCAAGACGGATGTGTTTGTGTGTACAGTCAGAGCACCAGATCCTGTCTGGTGACATCTTAGAAGTGTTTCTGGTGGTTATATTGCAGGAGGTCTTTCCCAGAATTCTTTGCAACTGCAGGAACCGCTGATTACAGAAGTAGTCCCAGGTCTTCTGGTTTTCTCTTAGATCAATTGATATGGGTGACTCTGTTTCGGACAAACTGTACAGCATTATGGAGCTCTTTCCAGGCTTATGACAATGCTTTAGAATACCAAATGTTTGTATACATTCATCAGCAAAAATGCACAGTATTCTTTCCACAATACCTATTTTTAGCAAAGCAGTATACTCCTAATGAGTTGCGTATGATTTGTTCTCCAGACTTTCAGCATCAAGCTGTAGCAGGAGGCAGTGTGAGTCACATACATTATGAAAACTGTTTGAAATACGACACCACAGCATGTGTCTTACCTATATTAAAACATGTATTTTAATTTCTATAGATTTATTTTACATTTATATGTAAACTGTGCTTTGTTGTTGATTGACCTGTTGATCAGTGTTTTTGCTAAACTGTGCTAGCTTGTGCTGGCACACAGATTTTTTAGCCCTTACTGAACAGCTTTTTGGCTCAGCACAGGGTGATGAAATTCCAGCTGCTGCTCGCTCACGCCTCCTTCCTTCAGGCATCTCCTGCCCCAGTGGCTGCTTCAGGAGTGCATGACAGGACTGAAGCCACCCCTGCCACAACCCTCTCCTCACTCAGCACCTCCTTCTTTCCTTTCCTGGCTCTGCCGCTGTATGCCAATAGCATACCGGATTCGCTTCAAGGTGCTGGTACTTACCTTTAAAGCCTTATATGGCCAGGGTCCGACATACCTATGGGACCGCCTTTCCCCATATATACCTCAGAGAGCACTTTGGTTGAAGTCGCAAAACCGATTGACCCTCCTGGCCCCCAAGGACGCCAGGCTTACCACCACCAGGGCCAGGACCTTCTCAGTGGTGGCTCCGTTAGGGTTGCCAAGTCCAAATTTCATCACAGCGGGGGACTCCTGGCTGGCGGCTGGAGCGCACGCACCGCATCCACGTCACTCAGAGGTGACGCAACCACGCTGGGCACGCTGGGAGCGGGGCCACGACCATCTGAGGGAAAACCATAGAGTTTTCCCTCAGACGACCGTGGCCCCACCCTCAGCGTGCCCGGCGTAATCGCGTCACTTCCGGGTGACGTGCACATCGAGGTGGGGTTCCCCCAGGGCCCGATCCGCCAGCGACGGGGAACGGGCCTCTGGAGTGGGGGTTTCCCCGCCCCCCGGGGGGACTTTGCAAGTCTAGGCTCCGTAGTGGTAGAATGAGCTCCCGGAAGAGATCAGGGCCCTGCGGGATCTTTTACAGTTCCGTAGGGCCTGTAAGAAGGAACTCCTCCACCAGGCCTTCAGTTGAGGAGGCGCCACTATTATTACCATCAGTAATCTCTATTACAGAGTTTGGCCCAGAGAGCAGAATGAGTGTTGACTGCTATCCCACTTATTTGTACGCGATCGTAAACAATGGAGGAATATCACCAGCACCTTATGATTTTTAATGTATAATTGAACTGTTTTAGTAGATTTTATTGTTATTTATGCATTGTTAACTGTGAGCCACCCTGTTGAAACTGTTGCACAATGGGAGGGTGGAGCAAGAGAGAGACAGCCCAAGCAGACGTGCCCACTGAGGTGCCCTGTTTGGCATGGCAGCAGAAGCCAAGCAGAGAGGGTGCCCCTGAGGCTAGCAGATACCGGGGGAGCAACACTTCCCTCCGTCCTGGTCTCTCACCATGTTGCACTTCTCCAGTTGGGGTGGGTTGAGCGTCTATCTTCATCTGACATGTGTGGAACCCTGCTCAGCAGTGGAGAGTTGCCTTTGCCATGCAAGGAGTGCCTCTCTGAGCATATGCTGAGTGCGCTTTTGTTGCCCAGCTGCAGATCTTTGTATGGGGGGGAGTGGAAAGCTGGGCTCACCTCCAGCTTCCTCAGGAAAAGTCCCAGCCACCCTAACCAGCTAGTTAGTCTCAAGGTGGTTCTACAACTGTTGAATAGTGGCACAATTGCTATCTTTCATATATGCAATTAGAGCCATGGGTCCAGAAGACACAAGTAACAATCTTCAAGCGTCCCATTTGTTCCCTATTACGTTTTGGAATAGAAGCCACCAATTTCTGTAAGCTTTATATTGCTCTTCTTGTTGACCCTTCCTGTTCACTGCAGCTTCCTGGCCTGTTACCTCTGAGCAGTGCAACAACAGCTGCCACAGTGGTGGGTTCTTCTAATTGCAGTATTGACACCATTTAATAATCAGTGCTCCTTCTCAGCAGGTGATTCCCACAGTGAAATGGGAAATGAAAGGATACATCCAGTTATTTTGTTGAACAATGGAAGGAGGCAAAGTCACAATGAAACTACCTTATGTAGATATTCTCCGCACTGATCCTAAGGAGGGAGGGCTTTAAAGCTCAAGGCATCATTTCTTTCTGCCCTGGGATCATCACAAGCCCCCTGTCTCTAGTACAATACACAGGAACATGCTCTTTGAGGGCAGAGGTCACATCTGCAGCCAATTTAGGGGAAACCAAGTTGATAGCAGTGTTCTCCCTAAACTGTGCTAGCGTGTGCTGGCACACAGATTTTTTAGAATGAATTATTTTAAACTATATTTTAAGAATGATTTAAAGTTTAAATCATTCTTAAACTATAGTTTAAAATAATTCATTCTGAGAGTTTTACAAGGTTATGGTCATAATCTTCTAAAAAACTAATTTACGCAATACTCAAATGTAGGCTTGCTCACAATTTTAATGCTAGTAGCTCTTTTGGCTCATGAAGAAGCATTTTTGCTCACAGCTTAGAGGAAACATTGCTGTTGATTGTAACAAATGTTGATTGATTGATAATAAACGTATACATCTATGTATGAGGCTTTCATACAGGTTGCCCTATATGCCGGGGCCATTTCTTAGAAAAAGAGGTGCAGGAGCTCATTAGCATAACTTATTTGCATATGCCACACACCCTGACATCACCGGAAGTGTGTCAGAAGGCAACACCCACTGCTAAGGCTCCACTGGACTGTTTTGGATTGCTAGCTATTGGGGGGGGCATGCAGATCTGTCCTCGCAGAGGAGGGAGAGCTTGTACCTGAATAAAACTTGGTCTTAAAGGTGCCACTGGACTGTTTTGGGCTGGGGGGGCTCTGCAACTTACCTGGCTGCTTCTTGCTCTGACTGAGGGCTGCTGGGAGCAGGGGGTGGGGCTCGTTGCATGTGTCGGCCCCCTGGGCTCTTTACTGCCGGAGCTCCGATCCTGTGCGCTCCTGCAGGAAATGACCCCTGCCTGTATGGGGTTAAAAAGGATTGTGAGACTTTAACAGTGCAGTCCTCAGCAGAATCACACCCTTCTAAGTCTATTAACTTCAATGGTCTTAAAAGGGTGTAACTGTGTTTAGGACCACTCTGCAAAGCATGGATCAAGTTGCAAACTCAACACTCTTGAGATGGACTATAACAAACAACAACAAAAAACTGTTTTGGGAATCTGGCCAGGATGTGGACATCAGGTTCAAACATAGATTTGGGAATCTGATAAAGAATATACAATACATGGTACTAGCCTAGACACTCTTACTCAGTGGCAAGTTCAGTCTTTGAACCTGCATCTTGTTTTAGCTCCTTCCCCTGCAAAGGACGTGATCCTGAGCACTCAGAGCAACCCTTCTGTGCTCGTGGCCTCCTGGAGTGAAGCCCCTGGTGGGAAAGATGGCTACCAGCTGGTTCTCTACCACACAGAATCTCAGGCCCCTGTGAAGAATGTGACCCTTCCAAAAGGAGCCACCACTTTCCAGTTTGAGAGGCTTCTGGCTGGCAGCAAGTATGCCCTGCGCATCACTACACTGGCGGGTCACTTGGCAGCAAGCACCAGTGTACAGCAATGGACAGGTAGGGGAAGTTGGTGTTCTGGCCAGGAGACGTTGGAGGGTAAAAGCAACTCTGCAGAGATGGAGGCATCTCTAGGGATCCATCTCTTTATCTATCTAGTGCATTTTTATCCTGCCATTCTTCCAGAGAAGTCGGGGTAGTGTATACGATTTCCTCTTCCCTGTTTTCTTTTCACAAGAACCCTGTTAGGTTTATTAGACTGAAAGACACTGACTTGACACAGGATCACTTAGTGAGCTTCATGGCCAAGGTGGAGGCCTGAGAGACTTGAACCTGGATCTCCCGGACCCTAGTCTGACACTGTCCACTGTACCATTCTGATCTGGGGCCTATTACTTTACTTTATTCACATTCTTGACAATGAGAAAGAGGAGAGAGAATATGCAAGCGCTAATAATTCAGACTAGATTAACTCGTAATGTCTGGTAGTGCTCATGAGGTTAAATTTGTAAATATGTACTCACCTAGTTATCTCTCTGGTGAGGGTATCACCTGCAGGCAGTGTTTGTAAACTGGAAATAATTGATGCTTTTCTTTTTGTCAGCCACTGATGTACCACAAGTGACTGGCACAGGTATGTGTTTATGGGCAGACTCCTAAAACGGCCTAGTAGCTTTGATGAGTTGACTTATTTGCAAGGCTGCCCAAATGTCCACTCTTAAGGCATGACTGGCCTGGGCTGTGTTGGCCCCTTGTTTCTATTTTTTGTTTTTGGAGTCATGCAATGAGCACTGACTTCCTTTGGCTATGATTTGTCCCTACAGCCCCTGTCGCCCCTAAATCACTGACTTTACGGAGCAGGCGTTCCAACTCCAGCCTTACCGCCTCATGGGCTGGCACAGAGGGAGCAGAATGGCTGTATTTCACCCTCCAAAACCTCCGCATCCCTACTGAAAGCATCACTGTGTCAACCAGGAAGGGTGTGGACAGCTACACTTTCCAGCATCTGCAACCTGGCACCCCCTACTTCCTGAAGGTCAGGGTGTCAGCTGGGCATTATGAGGCTGAGGGGCCCAGTGCCACTGCTTATACATGTGAGTATGGGACAGGATACTGTTTGTGGCACTATCAAAGCAAGACAGGCCTCAAGGTGGAATAAGGTGTCGATGAAATGGGTGGCCAAACTCACCTCAGCCAATCAGGTGGTGGTTCCAGAAACATCGTGGGGCCCTCTCTGTCTCAGTTTTAATACCAGTGATTAAAGCATTGAGCATGAACATGTCAGAGTTGAAGATAAAATTAACGTTCAGACAGCTGTGCAGGAAGGTAGTCCCCCAATTTGGTTCAGGGCCATGACCTAGACATAGGAGGATTTAACCATTTCTCCCTGTGTGGTTTTCCTAATAGAGATTGGCTTCTCCATTTTTTTACTCCTGGGGATAACAGCAATTTAGGGGACTAATTTCTGTTTTTAAAATGGATTCAGAAAGAATGGGTTCCTTTCGCCATGCTACGGCACCAGTTGGTATGGGGGGGGGGGGGGGGGGGGAGGACCTGATGCTTTCTAAGGATGAAAAATACATGGGAGAACCTGATCATGGATCTCCCACAAATATGTAGTTTACTCCTTAGAGACAGTGTTGGTTCTATACTGCGATTCTATGCAAGGTTACTCCAGTTTATGTCCATGGGCTGAGAGTGGAATAACTCTGCGGAGGACTGCTCTTATAATCTTGCATTTCCCTGTTTTGAAGATCTTCCCCATTTCTCCTACTGTAAGGCTAGACCGTCAGAGGACGGCGGAAGACAGGAGGGCCTGGCATGATCTTGTCCATGGGGTCGCGAAGAGTTGGACTCGACTGTGCGACTGAACAACAAAAGGCTAGACCAGAGATATTTGTTTTATGAAACCTACAGAGTGTCATTAAGGCTGTGCGAACAAAAGTCTTGCTTTCTGTCATTAAAATGATCTTTCACAATTAATGGATTTGTTCCTCTCGCAGAAAGCCCCTTCAAATCCCATTGGCCAGCTCTGAAAAGATATCCCTGCAGACAAATTGTTTAGTTTTCATTAGGGAGAAATACGCTAATTGCAAAAACAAAACAAAAACACCCTTTTGTTCTACCCAGTATTAGCCAATTTTCTTTCTTGTCTTTGAAGCTTTGCTTTCCTTGCTATCCAACATTTTTGTGATAACAGAGATACCCTCTGTATTTGTTTTTGTTAATGGACAGTTGAATCTTCTCCTACTGACTTGAGCAATACAGAGTAGATGCAGTGGATCAAATTTTTTTTTGCATATTTAGATGGGTGTCTGTAAGAAATGTCAATCTAATATGTTGTGTCCACCCTAATGAGTAGGATGGGACCCCACTCACAGAAGTGCTAGTTAGCTGATGTTGTCCTCAAGGATAAGGCTAGAGAGCCAGAAGTTTATTTGAGTGCTGGTAAAGATATGTGTGTATCTTTATTTCTAAGGTATCTATAACAAAACAGTCACTCAGTTCAATACATCCAATAAGCGTCCCTCCCTAAAGACTTAGTCTATTATTCTCTGGGCATTCATTGTGACTGATGGTCTCCACAGACCCTCTGAGCCCAACCAGTGTGAGCTTGGTCAACTCTGGCAAAAACAACACCTTGAAGGCATCATGGGAATCCCCAGCTGGAGAAAGAGAATTCTATCTGGTGACTCTGCAGGAGGGAAAGAGCAGCACACCCCTCCGAAATCTGACAGTAGCAGCGCACAGCACGCACCATGTCTTCCGTGGCCTGACTCCTGGGACTCGCTACATTGCCTGGGTAACCGCTGTTGCTGGGCCCCACAGAGCATCTTCTCAAAGCGTCTCGGCTTGGACATGTAAGCTTGGTCTCAATGTGGGCAGGAGGGCTTGACTGCTGCTGAAACTGGTAACAGGGTGGGGAAGACAGGCATTTGAATGATGTTTGAAAGAAGGACATGCAGATTGGGTGCCACCCGTGTGGGCACTGTGGAAGAAGAATGCATGCTCTCTTCAGGCTAAAACAGTTGCTTTGCTTTCCTCTCATGGAAAGAGGTTCCTTCATCCCAACTATCTAGAAGTTTAGAGAGAGAGGGACTCCACTCCATCTTAGTTGTGTGTCTGAGAGATTTTGGAGCAACACAAATCACCGGAATTCCATTATGCTGTTGGAATTGGATGGCACTTACTCTAGTGTGAGAACTGGGCCTGAGCAGGGGAGGATTCTGATACTTATGTGTACCCCATGACCTGAATGCTGCAGAAAAACACCACTAGCAGCCTTGTGGAAGAGGCTTTTCTTTTTTGTTGCTTGTGTCCCAAAAGAAGCACTCCACATATGGGATCAACTCAGGGGTGTTTTTTTGTGAGAAGCCCTGTACATAATGTTGTATTTTGCTTTCCCTTTTCCAGATCCCATAGCTCCATCAGATGGCAGCCTGTCAAGCCAGGGCAGTGCCCACATGCTTCATGCTTGGTGGCAAGAGGCGGCTGGGACTGGCTATGTGGCAGCACTGTACACCACAGAACCGCCCACGCTGGTGCAAAACAATTCACTCTCTAAGGGCAATTCCAGCCTGCGCTATGAGCAGTTAAACCCAGGCACTCACTATATGTGGGAGATCAGCACTGTCGCTGGGCCCTACATCTCCCTGCCCCTTCGCCTCATGAACTGGACCTGTGAGTATCAAAGGAAGCGCAATATATGATCATGAATACTTTAACACTACTAGAAGCTGCTAGTGATTGCCAAAGAAAGCACAAGTTGTTCTGCTCTTTCTGGCGGGCTTTGCACTTGGATTGGAGTCAGTCACACTGGCTGCATGAAGCCAGTGGGGACTTTTGATTGGCTCTCAGGACTGGCTGTTTGCTCCTCTGACTTGTACAGAATACAGCTGTGCAGATGCTGGAAGCAAAAGACCAGTCTGAGTTCTGTTGGGTTTAAGTTATACTCCTTGTCTTTGAATTGTCTACTTCAGGGCAAATCCTACCATTAGGAATGCAGGAATCTCAGAAAAAAGCAACAGCTTGTAATGTAGATCCTACCACCATAATGCCATGGTTCATGAAAGAAAAAAAATTATTTTGTGAAATGGCATGAATGGACCATTTTCTGGCTATGGGCTTGCAGCTGTCCCCACAGCCCTAAGAATTTTACTTGTCCCTACAGTTGCCAGTCCCCCTGCCCCCAGTTCCTGTTTCCCACCAACACTCAGAGCGGCACTGGGAGAAAAATATTTAAAAGGGCTGTTGGGTCTATGGTGTGATGTTACTTCCAGGAAAAACCCAGAAGTGATGACAGCCCTCCTAGTAACTGCCAAAAAAACTGGTTTTACCAAGAATTTCTGGCAATGTCACTTCTGGGGTCACCAACAGCTGCCCCCTCCTGTCCTCCCCGAGTGTCCCACTGGTTGCCAAGCTGGGCCTGGAAACCCTTCCATGACTGAGCTGCCTGGGCCAGTAATTCTGCTTCTGTTCATGAAAGCCCCTTTCTTTTCTTAGTTATACTTTATGCAACTGCTATTCAGGCATAACTATGGACAGAAAAAAGAAAGAAGGTGTAATATTCTGTGATGCAAGGAATTAGAGTAGTATAATAGGAAACGGATAGGGAGAAGTAAAATGTGACAAGAATTGCAGAGGAGCAAATGCATATCAATCAGGACTGGAGGAAGTGAAAAAGAGGGCTGCAGTTCGGGTAGGAAAAAGGGAAAAGAACACCTTGCTGGTGCTGCTCATGGAATGGAGCATTGGTGCATATGTGCCAGAGGGATAAGTTTGACATCAGTAAGGAGATGTTTTCCAGAGTCAGGACAGACACAATCCATTGCTGGCTTGCTGGGAGGTTTTGTTATTTGGTTAGAGTGGGGTGAAAAAGCCTAAAGCAAGCTCTGACCTTCTCCTTTCAGATCCTTTGCCTCCAGGCCACCTGAGCCTCAGCAGCGAAGGTCGCAGCACGTCACTGCATGCCTCTTGGCAAAACCCCTCTGGGGGCAAAGGCCATTACATAGGAACCCTGTTGGAAACCAAATCCCAGCAGGAGATCCAAAATGTGACCATAGGAAAGGGCAGGACAGACGCCATCTTCGACAGGCTGGTCCCTGGACGTCAGTACACCCTGAGGATGGTCGGCGTGGCTGGCCCATTCCAGTCTCCCGCTCAAACGGCCAGTGACTGGACATGTAAGTATGGCACTCTCATGAGAAGGGCTAGAGTGTTCCCAGGGCAAGTTTTGTCCCTGAATTGCATTTGGAGTTAGTTCCTGTACACACAGGCAAAGAGAATAGAGTCGCTATCAGAGCAACACACACCATGAAACAAGGGAAGAGTTTACTGTGGACACACAAGAGCTATTTGTGAAAATGGGAGGAAGCACTGGAAGAAAGGAAAGGAAAGCAAGGAAATGGTGACTGGGAGTATTACAAAGGGCAAACTCAACTTTTGCTTTAGGGGGAGATGAGTCTGCTTTATAACTATGATACAAGTTCAAAATCCAGCAGATACTGGAGGGGCCTGCTCTTGCCATCTTGCTTTTGCTGTCTGGGAGTGTTGCTAGCCTGATCTCCTCAGATCTTGTAAGCTAAACAGAGTCGGTCCTGGTTAAAACTTGGATGGGAGATCACCAAAGATGTCCAGGGGTTGCTACTACAGAGTAAAAGGTAAAGGTTCCCTTGCTCGAAAGCCAGTCGAATCTGACTCTAGGGTTGCGGTGCTCATCTCTGTTTCAAAGCCGAAGAGCCAGCGCTGTCTGAAGACGTTGCCGTGGTCATGTGGCCGGCGTGACTAATCACCAAGGCGCACGGAACGCTGTTACCTACTCACCGAAGTGGTACCTATTTATCTACTTGCAATTTCTTGCTACCATTAGGAATGCAGGAATCTCAGAAAAAAGCAACAGCTTGTAATGTAGATCCTACCACCATAATGCCATGGTTCATGAAAGAAAAAAAATTATTTTGTGAAATGGACTCTGTCATGTGGCACCCGGGTCTCGAACTGCTGAACTACCGACCTTTCACAGCCTGCAGTTCAGCGTCTTAACCACTTGAGCCACTACAGAGCAGGCAATGGCAAACCAGCCCTCTTTGTCTGTTGCTTTGAAAACTGCATGGGGTTGCCAGAAGTCAGCTGTGACTTGATTGCACTTTCCACCACCAGTGTGGCTAGATCCACATGAATGGACCATTTTCTGGCTATGGGCTTGCAGCTGTCCCCACAGCCCTATGACGTTTACTTGTCCCTACAGTTGCCAGTCCCCCTGCCCCCAGTTCCTGTTTCCCACCAACACTCAGAGCGGCACTGGGAGAAAAATATTTAAAAGGGCTGTTGGGTCTATGGTGTGATGTTACTTCCAGGAAAAACCCAGAAGTGATGACAGCCCTCCTAGTAACTGCCAAAAAAACTGGTTTTACCAAGAATTTCTGGCAATGTCACTTCTGGGGTCACCAACAGCTGCCCCCTCCTGTCCTCCCCGAGTGTCCCACTGGTTGCCAAGCTGGGCCTGGAAACCCTTCCATGACTGAGCTGCCTGGGCCAGTAATTCTGCTTCTGTTCATGAAAGCCCCTTTCTTTTCTTAGTTATACTTTATGCAACTGCTATTCAGGCATAACTATGGACAGAAAAAAGAAAGAAGGTGTAATATTCTGTGATGCAAGGAATTAGAGTAGTATAATAGGAAACGGATAGGGAGAAGTAAAATGTGACAAGAATTGCAGAGGAGCAAATGCATATCAATCAGGACTGGAGGAAGTGAAAAAGAGGGCTGCAGTTCGGGTAGGAAAAAGGGAAAAGAACACCTTGCTGGTGCTGCTCATGGAATGGAGCATTGGTGCATATGTGCCAGAGAGATAAGTTTGACATCAGTAAGGAGATGCTTTCCAGAGTCAGGACAGACACAATCCATTGCTGGCTTGCTGGGAGGTTTTGTTATTTGGTTAGAGTGGAGTGAAAAAGCCTAAAGCAAGCTCTGACCTTC